ACGAAATGTGGGACACTGGCGTACACTCCTGGAAAACCAGCTCGCGCACACCCATTTCCCCAAGAAACGATCCCCGTTAAGTACCCGTCCACCATGAGTGGCCCCCCAGAGTCCCCACTGCATGCGTCCTGTCCTCCTTCGGTAAATCCTGCGCAAACCATCCTGTCCGTGATGAATATGCCAGTTCTGTTGGACAAATCGCCTGAAAAAACTCCCATTTTCGTTCCCAATTCAGCAAAAACCGTTCTGGAACTCACTGTAGAACTCTTGGCAGGATTCGTTGTTTACGATAGGAACCGTAACTTCCTGTAGTTCGTCCATCAATGAACCGCCAGCGAACGGCGTTCCCCATCCAGCGACTGTAGCTAAGCTTCCTGAAACCCATGAAGCGCTCACTAAGTGTGGAGCAATTGAACATAAAATGCAATTGAACCTGCAGTTGGGTGCCACCCTTCGGGCGGCAATTGGGCATAACCGATAATGTCTTCAACAGCACTTTGAGCCATGCTCAGTCTCACCAAAGCAATATCGTAGTCAATGGTGGTCGCATTGTACTGCGCATGCCTGAGAAGATGGGTTGCCATCAAAACGGTTCCTCCAGAGGCCCACAGGTGGGAACCCAGTCGGAAGCTGTAGCGATGTGGCCCTCTAGAACCAATGCAAAATTAAGCACCAGAATCATGTGGTGAAAAACAGCTTACGCGGACACGCAATGAGCAGCAGTAACAATCCAATCGGGCGCTATAAGAACAGCTCCACAACTGTGGCGGTGCCAATTGTGGAAAGACGCCTGGTAAGGGTGGCTGGTGATATTCACAGGCCAGCCGCCCACAATGCGACCATCGGGCAACGGAACCAGAGGTTCCGGTTCCAAAAGATCTTCTCTTTTATCGATAAGAACTGAAAAAAAGAAGATGCTTGAAGAAGCTGACTGCAGTATTGAAAGCCTGCATGCAGGGCTTAATTCGATGCTTTGAGTATTGAAGAAGCACAGTGTGCTTAGGTTCTTAGGTTGTCAATATTTTTTTGATCGGACGCCCATTTCCAAACATTCACATCCTGAGTTATTCAGCAAATTGTTTGGTTCCTTCTAAGGTATTGTTTCAAAGTGCATCTCGATTGCAATTTTCTTGTTTTTTTTGTAGAGAAAATCAGGGTATTTTGGACGAAATGTGATGAAAAACCGCGATAGAAAAGCGGAAGCAAAGTCCTGAGATTTGGTGCCTCATGGTTACGAAGAATCTTTGATAAAACTACTTGTTAAAAACTTGACTTGAAATAAAATCTTCCGGTTCCAAAAAATCTTCTGTTT